GGGGCAAGAGAGGATGCTGTGCAGAAGGGGAAACCGAGGCGGAGTTTGTGTCCGTGTTTCATGCTAACTCTTTGAGGCCATCCCAGCGGGAGAATCTGAGCAGAAACCCTTCAAGTTAAAATTGGTTTTACTGTTAAATCTGAGAGCCACTGGGAAGGATTTAACGTATGTCGGTGCTCTCGGGGGGCGGTGACTGATTGATCTCCTCTAGGCCCCAGACACACGCCAAGGGCCTTGTTTAAAAGGGAGGGAAAGGTGGGGGGGGGGAGAAAGCAGCTCGGAGAAGTTTGGGGCAGAATCTAGAATATGTGTTATGTGTGGAGGCCGCATTGCTCTCTTCCCCGCATGTTTCTTTCGAGCCACAGTGGGCGTAGCTCTTCTCACCCCAGGGCCCAGGAAGTGGAGCAGTAAGTGGCGGGAGGTGAGGCCTGAGGTTGGGTCCCAGGCTGTCCCGCGGGGCGACTCTAGCACAGCCGGCCCAGCTCCCAGGTCCGGAGGCGAGGGAGCCCCCCGTCTGTGCTGTGCCTGGGGGTGCAGCAAAGGCAGCCTCCAGGGCGTGTGCTGGTTTGTATTTCAGAGCCTCCCAGCTCACGTCAGCCCCGGTTGGCCCCTGTGGACAGTGGCCTCTCAGCGTCCTCTGGGCTTGGCTGACCTGCCCCCGCTGGCGCCCAGCTTTTCATTGGGTTCTGCCTCCTGGTCTACGTCGGGCCTGGTGATGGAACCAGGGCGGGGGCGTGGGGCTGCCCTGAGGCCTGTGTGCGGGAGAGGAGACGCGGGTCCTGCCCCCTGGAGACGGCCCGCTGCCCAGCACAGGGCTCCCCCTCTGCCAGCCCCTCCTGTCGCGGGCAGAGCCTGGACTTTACTCTGGGCTGCAGCCAACGCGCCAAGAGCTGGCTTTCCCAGGGTGGCACCTGAGGTACAGCCGGTGGGAGGGACCGTTGGTCAAGCTTGGCCTCATCTCCGTAAACTGAAGTTCACAGGTACAGCGTCCAAGCAGGTGCCGGGGGCGCTGGTGCCGACACTCAAAGACCATGGTGCCTCGTGCCCTTGCTCACGCGGCTCTCAGCAATGAGGGGGCACAGACATGCCAGCCTGGAAGATGCCAGGTACATGCGGACGGGAGAGTGTGCAGCCCATGAACCCATTCCTTCCTGTGACAGCAGGCCACGCACACACACACATGCACACTCACATACACACTCACGCACACACACACTCACACATGCACACTCACACACGCACACTCACATACACACACACACTCATACACACACACATGCACACTCACACACACCCACTCACACATGCACACACACACCCACTCACACACACCCACTCACACACCCACTTACACATGCACACACACATGCACAATCACATACGCACACACTCACACACACTCACACATGCACACACACATGCACACTCACACATGCACACTCACATACACTCACACACTCATACACACTCACACACACCGAGGAAAATCCTAGAGGATGTGTATTAATTCCTGGCTTCCTCCTGGAAGACTGGTGACGGAAGGAAGGGCGGGTTATGGAAGAAACTCGGAAGACTCAGCTTCTCACCTCCCACCTTTCAGCATTATTTTAACTTATTTCCCTTAAGCACGTACTTTGTTTTGTAAACAGAACTGTCACAACAGCAGCCAAAACTATGTGAATGGACACACGCAGCTCAGGCTCTCGAAGCCTCGGGTGGCTCAGCAGGGCTCTGGCTCCTGCTGGGAGGGGAAGGCTGAAGAGACCGAGATGCGGGGTCCTTCCCCCGGGAAGGGGCCCCCTCAGCGCTGTCCTGTGGCCGGGGGTGGTGACAGTGTCACAGACGAAGGAGGTTAAAAGTCCCAAAGGAGAGAAGAGAGCCTCCTTTGCCTCCTGCTCCTGTGCCTCCCTCCCCGCCTCCCCGTGGGTTTACAGGGTGGACGATGCATCTGCAGAGGGGACCCCTGCGACCCCTCGGGTCCCTGGGCCCGGTTGGGACCCGGCCTGGGCGGCATCTCCACAGTGATTTGTATGCGGAGCAGCTGGTCAGCATTCTGATCTAAGCTTGGTAACAAAAATTGCAAAAGCCTCTGTTTCTCCTCATATTTCTCTTGCCCTTCACATTATATTCACCACCCCCTGGTCCTGGGCTCGGCCGTCAGAAGGGGAGGGTCTCTGGGGTGGGAACCTCACGACACGAGACCGCCGAAGGGAAGCGCTGGCCGGACGATGGGAGGTTCGGGCTGAGACCTGGTGCGCACGGAGCAGTCATAAAGTGCTGACGACTCCGCTGGGCCGTGTCGAACCCGGAGCTTTCTGTGCCGCGACCGGAGCCTTTACAGTCAGCGTTTTCGCTCAAGATTCGAAAGGCGCTCCTTCTGCTTCCCGCTGCTTCTCCCGTTCAACCCAACGCCAGCAATTTCTCTTTATTTCTAAAACTGAGGGATGTGGCAGTTAGTCATGGAACAAGGGTGGACCCTGGGCCAGACGGGAGCGGACGTCCCGGATCTGAAATCGGAGGGAATGTGTTACAGAACCGCCTCCCTCCCCGTAAATTACTCAGTGTGATGTTCTGTCCACAGGAAAGGAAAAAAACAGATCTTTCTAAGTTGCACCCTATGAAATTACCACTTTCATGGGTAAAACAATGTTTCTAAAAAAGTGAAATCATGTTGCGCCTCCTAAGCTGTTGCAGCTCGAAGCCTGCTTTCCTGCTGTCCCGGCTGTCCCGGCTCACGCGTCTCCGTGTCCTCCTGCCAGCACCTTGGGGAGAGGGGCGCTCGGTGTGGCACATGCCTTATGTTTCTGCGGATGCAGTTTACAAATAATCCCGTATTACGTAGCACGTTCGCACCCACACACGTCACTCTCATTTTATTCTCGCAGCAGCCCTGTGAGCTAGGCCAAGACCAGGGTTTTTCCCTCATTTTATTCCTGAAAGAGCCTTAAAGGGCTGACTTAGTCCCAGAATTGGTCCCACCGGCACCGTATCCCGAGCCGACGAACTTCTAGTCCCCGTGTGTCAGTATTTGGGGTGCGCTGACTTGATTTAATATCCTTGTATCTTTTATCATCTTCCCGTGGTTTTCCATTGTAAAGGGTTAATTGGGCAGATCTGTTTAAACTCCACACGTGGAGCTGTGTTTGCCCGTCACGAAGAGGGTTCCCGTGGAGGGGCTCGTGTCCGGCGTGGAGACCTCCCGCGGAGGACGCGCCCGGGGTCACAGCACAGGGCCCACGGGAGAGATCGACATCTCAGCGGTTGCTCCGCACACTCGGGGGCTTTTAGGCAAATCAGAGGACCTCTTAAAACTGTCGCTGAGGGAAGGCGGGTGAGGCTGAATTACAACAGGGCTCTCGCGGGTCACTCTCCTGCAGGCCTGGCTTGTTTGCGGGGGGCCCCACTCAGGCCGAGGCCGATGTTTTACCCACCCCCACCCCCCGTGCCCACACAGAGGGGCCTCCTATTGATCGGTCTGGCCCAGGGTATTTTAGAGTCGCCATCCCCACTGTTTTCATTTGTTCTTTCCCTCCCCCACGTAGAACACAGTGACCGTGTGAGCTGGAAAGTGGGGGCCCTGGGGAGCTGGCAGTCCATCCCCTGCTGGAGGTGACCGGTCATCCTCAATAAATTATAGTTTGTCTTGTTTGGTAATAAACAGATCAGTTAAAATTTTAAAATTATTTTTAAATCATTTTTTATTTTTCAGTTACAGTTGGCCTACAATAGTGTATTAGTTTCAGGTGCACACACCAGTGATTAGACATTATAAACCTTATTAAGTGATCATCCCAAAAAATCTCACACCCACCTGGCCCCTACCTAGTTATTAGGATATTATTGACTGTATTCCGTGTGCTGCGCTTGACACCCCCATGACTGCACTGTAACTACCAATTTGTAATTCTCAATCCCGTCACCCCTTCACCCACCACCCCAACCCCCGCCCAACTGGCAACCAGCAGAAAGGTCAGTTACGTTTTTTAAAAAGGCAATCGGGAGTTACCTGGACATACGTGAGCATGGCTTCGGCAGAGAGCAGGGCGTCAGACTCCTGGGGATTCAGACTCTGGCAGTCATCAGGACCAGGTGAAAGGAATGCTCAACATGGGGCTGTGTGATAAAAAAATCTCTAAGTTCAAAACTAGAAGGATTTAAATTGCTGCTCGTGCACCACGCAGTGGGAGTGACACAGACGTTATACTAACGTGGAAGCGTGGTCACCGGCGTGGAAAACTGTTCGTGACAGTGGCTTAAAAAGACATGTATCACCCATATTATCTATGGTATATAAGTATGTGGGTGGGTGCACACACGCACACATATGCACACACGCACACACATGCATGCACACATGCGCACACGCATGCACACGGCTGCACACGCACACGCCCGTGGCTGTAGCCGCCGTCTCTGGCGCCACAGGTGGCCTGTGTATTTGGCCGCCCCCCTCCCCCCCCCC